AAGTAAAATAAGAGTTAAAGAAAGCAAAAAGGAATTGAAAACTATCAGTTATTTCAGAAGTATTGCTTCTTGCGGATGATAAAACTTCTTCTTTCTTTTTGAAAAGTATTTTATTGAAAAATTTCAAAAGACATCATGTCTTATGTTCTTAGAAGAATACTGATGATTTTTGCGTTAGGAAAAAGCAGAATTTTAATTAATAAATCAAACTACAAGAAATTACACAAAAAATATACTTTTATTAGTTAATACAGGTATAGTACTTTGAAACTTAATCCCCTCTTTCTACATCCCTCATATAAAGTGTCCGAAATTTTTAGAACGACATAACTAAAGTTTATTTTCAAAGTATATTTTTATTTTCATTCTATCATCATCTTCCTAATTTCACAGTAGTTTAGAAGAAAAACACACATTATATAACAAAAGAAGATCAGAGTAAATGAAAAAAAATCATGTTTATTTGATCACCTTCATCAAACTGCATAGTTATGACTATTTTCATACTGATTCTTGAGACACATTGAGTATCGAATGACCGATGAAGATAAAGAACACCGTTGTTTCCTATTTATATAACCAGATACTGAAAAAGATGATTCGCAAGGAACAGAACTGCTTTGCATACATGAGTAATACTTTATAACTGAATTTAAATCAGGTAATTGTGTTCCATATTTGATCCAGAATGTTTCAAAACGTGGTACATTTTTAACATTTGCCACATAAATGGAAATTTGTTCCTTTACGGAAATATCATCATTAATTTTGAATGATGGTGTTGATTCGAATGTATCTTGTACACCACATGTTTTTAAAAAATTATTTAATGATAATAACGGCATATGCTGTTGGGAATGTTGTTCCTGTTTTTTCGAAACTGCTGAATTTGATGCTGTTGTTAATGTAACTTGTGTAGAATGTAAACGAGATTGTCGTAAATTTCGATGAAATTCAGCACGCTGTAAGACTAATTTTTCAGCTTTTTCAAGTTCAGCTGGATCTTTGGACAAATAGATATACAACGCTGGATCTAAAAAGGCACAAATCTGAAAAGAAAAAAGAGAATAAAATATGAATAAAATCAAACACATTAACATCATATAGAAGAGAAAGAGTTTTCTTTTTTTTTTTTTCGTTTCGGTTTATATATTAAACGTATCTAATTATGAATTTTGATCTTTTAGAGAATAAAATTGATTAACACCGTCTTTAGATCTAGTGGCAGTCTAGAACCTAATCTTTTTCTTCTAGTGATGTTACTTTTGAGCAAAAGAAAAGTTGTTTTTGAGACTTACCAAGCTTGCTTGAGTTTGTTGGATCGAAATAAATTTACAACCAAAATAATAATCAAATTTTGACAATAATTGTTTTTTAAGTAAATTCTCAAATGGTTCATTATCATCGATTGTTGTTAAATATTGTTTTAGACCAGCAATAACAAAATAAGAAATTCCAAGAGTTGCATACTTTCGACCTGATAAAAGTACTGTTGCATCACGGAAAGCTTTAAGAACGTTTTTCATTCCCATTAATATTGACCAATCAATTCTTGAAAATGCTAATCGTTTTAAACGTTCATATTGAGTTGGTTTAATACCAATATCATTTGATGGATTTTGAGTAATACTTGTAATGATTGAACTGAAAAATATAAAACGTTTTAGCATAAAATATGTTGTATTCCAACGTATCTCAAAATCAATAACGACGTCTTTATATTTAACTTGTTTATCTTTTTGATCTGGTGGTAAAGAATTATTATATTCTTGTACTTTCAATTCTATATGTTTCTTGACATATCGATCTAGAACACTTGATTGATGAATGAAGTTTATCACTTTTCGTACACGTTTCAATAATGAATGAATTGTTGATAAAAGAATTGTATCATTATCTTCACATTTTTTAATAAATTCTTCATATAATAAATCAGCTGTGTTTATCAAAATTTGTTCAGCTTGATCCATACTATTACTTGTTGATGATGAATCTTCTATTTCGTCATCACTACTACTACTTGATAATGATGTTAAAAGTTCTTCTGTTTCTTCTTCTTCACCTTCTTCTTCTTCACCTTCTTCTTCTTCACCTTCTTCTTCACCTTCTTCTTCGCCTTCTGCTCCTTCACCTTCTGTTCCTTCACCTTCTGTTCCTTCACCTCCTGTTCCTTCACCTTCTGTTCCTTCACCTACAACTTGTTTTTCTTCTTGTTCTGCCATCTCTTCCTCTTCTTTCCCATTTAAAAATTCGTCTGGAATATCTTCACTATCAGCAATTGAAACAACATCATCTTCTTCTTGTGCTTGATCATTAACACTTGATGATGCACTTTTCCTAAAAATAAAGGTATGAACATAAGCAAAATATAACCAAAAGGATTTTTTCTTTAACCCTTTGAGTTCTGAATTTTTTCTACCGAACCTAATTTGATGAAACCACCAAGAATGGTAGAGCTAGGTGTGCTGATGAAGTTCCATTATAGGACAGATTTTGGTAATCCCGCGTTTTTATCTGAGGGAGGGTGCAAAGTTGGGGAAAATTCGAGAGTAGGCTCCGAAGGTGGCTTTGCCATTTGGCTCAGGAACAAGCTACGGACCTGGAGGTTTCAGCATTAGATAGTGGACAGTCAGTCGATTCTCGAGCACTAATAAAAGCTAAAATTTTATTTGGGCTTCATAGAGATATTTCAGCCCAAAAAACGTCAAAAATTAGCATTTTCTATAGGTTTTTTGGTTTAGTGGAAAATCGACAATAGGAATTTCGAAATCGGAATTTCGGCAATATTGCCGAATTTACAATGCTGTCTAAATTCTTCCTGGATTTCCATAAGAGCAAACTTCATATGGTGTTTTATTCTTCGGAACGCAAGCTATAAAATACCACATGAAGATTTTTATCAGCAACATCCCAGAAGAATTTAAACAGTATTGTAAATTCGACAATATTGCCGAAATTCCGATTTCGAAATTCCTATTGTCGATTTTCCGTCTCACCGGTTTTTTCACAAAAAAAGAATATAGGAAAAAAACATCCGCTACAAAAAATGATCAGCTCAATGAATGGCATCTATGGTAAAATTTTCAGACTTCTCGCATTTGTAATAGAGGAGCTAGATAAGGTTCAATTTGGCTGGGATGTCCACTTTGTCCTCCACATTTGGACCTCTTCACAAGGTTTTCAATTTTTTCGAACCTACAGCTATGCTTACAGGTACGAGTCCTACAAGCGCTGAAAGTTTCGTTCCATTCCGATGAAGTCGATGTAAACTCTGGTTCACTCTCGATAGAAGCACCCCCATGGGGTCAAAGCTTCGCAAGATGCATTTTTCAATGTCCTCCATACACTCTATTATCCAATCAGTCTTGTACGGACCTCTGCTAGCTTCTAACATTTATTGAAAATATTTCTCCAAGATTCTCAAAAACTCAACGATTTCAAAATTCTCAAGGTAGGAAATATATATCTCACTGGGCCTCAAAGGGTTAAAAAGACGGGTACTTTTTAGTGGAAAAAGAAACCATCGTAGCCAAATTGGAGAAAACAAAGTTTCTTTTTTCTCTTATAGTCTTTTCAAAATTACTTTAAGATAATTTTTTTACTTTTTCTTTTTTGGTATCTTATGTAACCATAAACCATTTTTAACAGTTGAATTTAACAAATGAACCACACATGATAATCTAAATCCTAAGCCAATACTTGATGTTGCAGCCCGAATGTCGGGCCCATTATCCGTGGTTATTCCTCTAACTTTTTTTTCAATATTGAGCTTTTTGATTTCATTTAAAATAAATAGTTGAAGTCGTCCCTTGGTATGACTGCCAAGGAAGCGACGGAAGGCTAACACGAAAGACTTTGATTTGTATTGTTCATCGGTATAATGTGCTGTTATACATATATAATAAGCTCTTGTTGATGATTTCCATACATCACAAGTAATACCAATATCAGATATTTCTGGTAATTGCTTCTTGAGTTTTGCTCGATAAATCTTATATAATGATTCAAGATGACGACGCACAGTTTTCCTGGTGGGTCCTTTGTATCTAAAAAAAAGGGAGGAAAATAGAAATTAATCGTGAGAAAAAAGCAAAAAAGATTTTATCAAGTCTCACCCTGGAACAGCAATTTTTAGGAACTTTGCCATACCAGGTTTCTCAAAATCATTTAAAGAACGACCATCAACATATATTGCCTGTACAGCAGCTTTATCAAGTTGTTGTTTGAGTTTGGTTGAGATCAGTTTATTTTTCGGTTGATAATTCTGAAGCTGTGATGGATATAAATATTCTTTTAGACCGTGAACACCACCTAAATGTCGTCTTAAATTACTATCAGAGGTTGCATTTAATGCAAATGTCTAAAAGAGAGAGAAAAGCAACATTAAGTATGATAAATGACACTCCATGCTTTGAAGATTGATCATCATTCTCTGAAAAACCCAGCTGTCCATACAAACAAATATGTATATCTTTGTCCAAAACTGCGGTTAGTGTTCTTTTTTCTTATTTGGAACATCTAATACGTAATAAGTCACTTAAACATAATACTTCGTTTAATGTACAAAGCTGATAAAATAGACAACAGCTATCGCGTTAAATCTGTGAAATTTTTTGTCTCTCAAAAAGCAACAGTGAGAACGAAGAAATAACTCTTACTTTTCGTGAATTTACACATAAATTACATTTTAAACCGTTGTTAATTTTAGTAAAATGTTTTAAAACGTCTTCCATTGTCATTCGTGTTGTCCGTTTTTGTACTTTTGGTTCTTCTGTTTTATTACTTGCTGTAGAATCTAATCGTTGTCGTGGTTGATTTTGGATCTGAATTTCATCATTTATTTCTTCATCACAATTATTTGTTGCTATTAATTGACTATTGTCGTCCATTTGTTCATCTGAAGATTTATCATCAATTGTAGCTGTGTTGAATAATTTTCTGATTCTTGTAATAGAAGATGATGTTGAATTCTTCTTTTTTGTTTTTATTTTTTGAATTTTACTGTTTTGATCAGATATAGCTGGTGTGGAACTTCTTCTAAATGAATAACGTTGCGTCGTAGATGGACTTGACGAACCTGGATAAAGTTTTCTTGTAAGTCTAGGTGTTGAATTAGAAGAAGACCGAGAACTCATTGCTGTTCTCTTTTAATCGAATTATCTAAACATAAAACTAAATAGACATGATATTTCTCATCGTATGCAAATAGTAGGTGCAAAGACTGGTCACTCTTTGTCTTTTTATCTTTTTTCTTCAGTTTTTCGTTTTTTCTCTGGTTTGTTGAACTGTGCAGAAAAAAAAGCATTATGGATCAAACATACTAGAAAAGTGAATTAAAGTTAAAGTTGAATTAAGCAATGCGTCAATCACATTGACATGTAAATCACCTCGAAAAGATGACTTAAACGTTAATGCGCCAATCACATTGCTTAATTCAACTTTAACGTTAATTCACTTTTCTAGTGTGTTTGACCCCTTAGTTAGATGCACATAAATTTTGAAAACTTATTATGCGCTTGTACTTCACCTTCCTATCTTTCTCTCTCCTTCTAGTTATATTATTCAAAAACACCATTATAATTAAGAGAGATTAGCATGTGGTCTGTAATAAAAATATATCGAAGTTTCCAGTGTGAATGGAGCAAGCGT